TTGTTACCTTCCTGGTTATTATTATTGTTATTAGAATTACTTATTGGCCATTAAACATTTTACAATGGGAGGCATCACAAACCAATCTGCTCCTGTTATAAAATCCTTATATCTGATAAAGCACCTGTAAAATAATAATAATAATCCTTGCACTTGATATAGCGCTTTTCACGTCAGGAGGACGTCCCAAAGCGCTTCACAGAACACACTGTAAAGTGAATTGACTGTATATTTGTGGGTGAACGCGGCAGCCAATTGCGCACAGCAATGTCCCATAAACAATTGTAGATTGAAAATGACCAATTTTATTATTGTTTTTGGTTTTTGGAGGGATTATTATTAGGTGTGTGGAGTAAGGAAACTTGCCCAAGGTTTCGCACTGCCTGGAATTGAACTCAGGTCTCTCGCTTGCAAAGCGAGTGCTCTAACCACTGAGCTACAGGACTCCAATTTACTGAATTTGAAGGTAAATATAGGAGCAGATAAACTGAACAGTGAGTGAAGCAAACTACCAATTTATTTGGAGGATTGTTGATTAGGATACGGGGAGAAATTCCTCTTTTCAAATAATGTCATGAAATTTTTAACATTACTGTGATCTCATCCGATGAACTGCACTTATTAATAACAATCCTTGCATTTAATATAGTGCCTCATTGCACCAAAATTTTTACCTACAAATACAAAGTCACCACTTTTACAGAAAATCCTTTGACGTGTTTTGAGCTGTTTCAACAATGTGATAAGGCACTGTATCAAATACAAGGAAACATCTCAAAATGCATCAGAGAGTTTTCTGTAAAGTAGGTACCAGTTAGACTGTATTAGTTGGAGGATGCAGCAGCCAATTTGCCACAGCATTGTCCCACAAACAGCCATGAAGTGAATGACCAATTTTATCTGGGGGATTGTTGGCCGAACACCAGGAGAAACCTTTTATTTTAAGAAAGCGCTCACTGCCAATAGCTTTCTTCAGGGCTTTTTAGCCATTAATTTGCCCTTCAGATACTGTGTAGTACAGTTGGAATCTTTAAGTTGGGACATCTTGGCGCTTTAGGTTTAAACCCCTCCCCCATCACCACTGAAAACAGTTGAATTAATTTTCTGATTTTACGATCGAAGCCCAGCACCAAGACCCAATTATCGTGGTCTGCTGGCTGAGTTCATTTTCCAATTGCCTGGTTTTTAAAGTAGAAAGTGAGTGACAATGTACCAAAGGTTAATTGCCCTAAATTTACACACAAAATGTTTAATCATTTTGAATGCCACGGCTCCGTTTCCTGGGAAAGCGAGAAAAATGAAATAGAAAATGAGATTTTTGTCAGCGGTTCCATTAAAACAAATTGAAATGAAGAGGCTACTGAATGTGCTGGAGGTGAGGAAACCAGGGAGCTTGTCAGCAACTGTCAAAGGGGCTGAAATCTCTCGTATTCTTTTTCTTTCTCTCTCTCTCGCTCTCGTTCACGCTTGCACGCACTCTCTCTCACTCGCCAAGCCCACAAAAATTGAGAATATTTCAGCTGGTATTAGAGTTACTACAATTTTATTAACAAGCAAGTAAGGGGCCGCAGACTACAAATGTTCGGTCTCTGGTCTGTGGTGTTAGTTGACCTCAGTTGGCAGAGCCATAGAATTGCTACAATTGACCTCAGCGCACTTCATACAGTATGACGGAGGGGATAATTAACCATGTTTCCTGCATCTGATCACTATCCAGTGACTCCTAGCAGCCAGCTCATCAGTGCTATCAACCTGAGGCCCACAACATTAGTCAGGGATCTGGTGTCATTAGCCTGGGGCTTGCTTTCTTTGTTGTGCTGCCTGTCTCGTGCCAGAGGCCTGGGGGATGCCAGCTCACCTAATCTTTAAGCCAAAAAATATCTTGTGACACAGGTGGACTGGGCGGAAAGAGATAAACTATAGTTGGTTTTTAGCTTCTCATGTAAAGTCTGCGATACAGAGGAAATCTATTCCGGTGAAAGTTCTCCAGAGGGCTTAGTGGGTGAATGTAGCATATGCTTTGGCTCTTGGTCCAAGCTAGATGCAGTGCCTGGTGTGTGTTACAAACTCAGTAGCAATTTGTGGCCCAAAGACTCATAGACAGCCATTTGGGCAAATCATTTTGAATAGTATCATTGTATCATTAATATCCACGTGAGCAAGCTGACGGGACCTATTTTAAACATTTTATCCAAGATATGGAACCTCTGAAAGTGCACTTCCCAAGCACTGAAGTGGAACATCAGCCTATATTGTGCGTTTGGGTCGAGGAAGCTTCAATCTTTTGACCAGAAGGAGTGCTACTAACTGACCTAAGCTGATACATATCTGATACGAATGCAGTACAATTTTACAAACTCAATATTACGTGTTTTAATAATAATAATAATCCTTGCATTTGATATAGCGCTTTTCACGTCGGGAGGACGTCCCAAAGCTCTTCACAGAACACACTGTAAAGTGAATTGACTATATTTGTGGGCGAACGCGGCAGCCAATTGCGCACAGCAATGTCCCACAAACAGTCGTGGATTGAAAATGACCCATTTATTATTTTTTGTTTTTTTGGAGGGATTATTATTAGACGTGTGGGGTAAGGAAACTTGCCCAAGGTTTCGCCCTGACCTGCCTGGAATTGAACTCGGGTCTCTCGTTTGCAAAGCAAGTGCTCTAACCACTGAGCTACAGGACTACAGTTTTATCTTAATGCGGGTTCACTTATAGCGCAATTGAGTTGTGAGCCCAACATTTACTTAGCAAAAAATCTAAAATACGTGTAGAAAACAGCTGGCTCATTTTATATAGCGTTGTCTTGCTTCAAAAAAACAGGCGGCTTCTCACGCACTAACAACTTTGGGTATCTTACCTATCAGGTGTCTTACTGCGCACGTACGCAATCCATGTGGAAGTGTTGACCTGCAATTGAATCCTGTAACAATCCTGGTTGGGAGTCTTAAGACCCTCTCACCCAACCCCACTACCAAGTTATAACGAGGCTCCATTGTATAGGGGGAGGAAGGAGAACAGAGATTGCAGAAATATGCAAGTCAGATTCCATCTATGACCCTTGTTAGATTTATCTTTACAGCAACTTATTCATGTGACCTGATCTTCATCTACTAAAGGTGTGTTTACAGAAGGAAAGTATGTGAGAATTGATCTAAATGAACACAGAAAGTGGCCGTCGGTAGGATTGAAACTGCAGCTATTATGAGCAGTCTGTTTGTCCCACTGGAGTGTGGTGTAGCACATAGTGAGCAGGTGAAAACAGCAGGTTGAACCTTGTAAACAATAATTTCCGATGGAGCTGTGACACCAATAGGGTTAAGGACCTCATTATACTGTATTGACCAGTTTGCTCGAATCTTAAGGAAATTATTATTGAAGTTATATTGAATTTAGCTACAGTGCAGTGTCAATAACGCAGCGTTGGGATTATTATTGTTTGTCATTTTGTGTGTCCTCATCTTCGATGGAAGTCCTGTATTGACTTTCTATAAATACAGCAAAAACATGCACTTATATAGCACCTTCCAGGTAGGATGGATGACTCAAAGCAGTTTAGAAAGGCAATGTGCATACCTGAGCAAGGAGGAGAGAAGGGGAAATTTGATCAAAAGCAAGGTTAAAGATACATTTTTCTAGTCACAGAGAAAGTGTGGCAAGCAGAAGGATTTTGGGAGAGAGATCCGGGATGCGGAGGCGTAATTTCTCAATCAGTGACTCGATCGTTGTTCAGCCATGTCTCTCTGGGTCAGGTGGAGAAGCAGAAGTTATATCTTGTCAGTGTATTGTGAGCTGTGTGTCTGTTCAGCCTGTGCAGCCCTGACGTGGTAGCAGGAGAGCCACTCTACCTCAAATCTACCCTGAGAGGTGTGAGGCGAGATGAAAATTGACAAATATAAGATGTTATGAGTGTTAGGTTTGCAGTATTAGTTGTGCAGTGCCACTCGTATCTGGCTCCTTTACCTTGATCCCCGGGCTGCTGTTTGGACACTCTCTGCAGCCTGTGTGTTTGTTCTTAAATAAAATCCTATTGAAGAGAAGGGTTACAATAGTTCTAAGATGTTTAATATGAAGAGTGCTGTTCACACAGGTTTTTTAGTCATGTTCTTTCAGACTTGACGTACTTTCAACATTGAAACTCCATTCAAAATGAAGCCGTGGTCTAATTTGTGGTATTTTTAGCAGATTTCTCAATAAGAAATTGTGTCATTATTGAATTTCTGAAATGTTAAATGTGCTGAGGCATGCACCTTCAGTACAATCAGTGCTTTAGAAAGGTGGTGAAACATCCACAGCACATTTAGATGCCCATTACAAAGAGTTATGTTTCAATGTCAAAAATAAAAAAAATGTTTAAGTGGTAATTGCTGGCAGCTATCATTAAGGGAAACTGGGAAAGTTTATTAGCTAAGAAGTCCAAGGGATGCTGTTTGGAGCAATTGCCATTAATTCAACGGGATATCTTTGTGTGCTTCTGAGTTATCCTCTCTCTCATTGAGACCTTGTAAATTTCTTCAAGCCAATTCCCTGTTACAAGGGCTCCCCCATGACACAGGGGGAGCGTGGGCCACCTGATGTGAAACAGCCCTATAGTGCCAAGAAGGACTGTGGTGAGATGTGACACCTGGTGTGTTGGTGATCTCAGCCAGGTTTGCTAAAAGAGGCACTTTAATTGACCTCAGCAATTAATTTACCTGGGCGAGGGGCCAGAGAACAAATCAGCCATTATCATTATCCAGTGTCTCCAGTGTGGGTATCGGCAGATTTTGATGTGATTCCCTGCCCCACGAGTCCATCCCTCGCTGGATACTCGAGTAGTCACGCTGTTTGTGGGTCTGAGGGCATCGATGGGATGGTGCCCCAGCTTGAATCAAAATCAACAGGAGAGGCAAGCAAGTTTACTCAATGCAGTGACACTTCAGCTGAAGTGCAGGGCAGCACAAAAAGGACTGGTGCTGGCTTGTCTAATTGATACCTCTCACTTCGTTTTTCAGAGGAAAAGCCAGACTGTTCCAAAGCCAGGTGTGAAGTGCAGTTTTCCCCTCGCTGCCCGGAGGACGCCATCCTGATCGAAGGCTATGCCCCACCTGGCGAGTGTTGCCCTCTGCCAAGCCGCTGTGTGTGCAAACCAGCTGGTTGTTTGAGAAAAGTCTGTCAGCCCGGCTACCAGAGTATTCTAGTTTCCAAAGCATCGGGGAAACCAGGGGAATGTTGCGACCTGTACGAGTGCAAAAAAGGTACATTAAAGTGTGTTTCTCATTGTCGTTTTCCTTGGCAACGTTAGTTATTCCAGGATCATGCGATAAGGGTTACATTGAATGATAATCTGCCCATGTTGAGTGCAGTCTAATCTGCGTAGCTCACTAACATAAACAAACCGTTTGACTGTCATTCTGCCTCCGATTTACTTCAATCCCTCTTCCTTCTCATTTCTCTCTTCTTGTAAACGTGGAACAGAAAGTTTGCTGGAATCAGTGAGTGGCATGTGTTTGACCCCAGTATTGCTATTCTTTGATGCAAGAACAGATTGTAAGCAATGTTGTCACTAGGGTTTGAGTTAAGACCAATAGAAGAAGCGTGAAATCCTTATTCCACAGAACTGGAATGTTTTGTTTGACAAAATAAATTCGCTGAGTAGGATTTTGGTAAAATGAGAATGTAAAACTTTGCACAGTGCAGAAAAAATGTCCAGCTTGGAATTATAGATTTTGTAGTTCCGAAGCAGAGTTTGCCTCTGGAGAGAGCACTTTGAACAACATTAAGGTGAAGTGCTGGTAACAGTGGTAGGAATCGGTACAATTTGAGATGGTGAATTGAAAATTAACACATAAGAAGGACAATGGAACAATATTAAAACTTATTGACTTGGCGGACACGATGGTGTGATGAATAAAGCTGCAACTTATAGGCTTGAGCTCGCTGGTTTGAATCCTCGTCTGTGCTGAGTTTGTTGGTCTCATGGGAGACTAATGGAGGGGAAAACCAGCTCATGTTCCTGCTCCTAGTGCTTCTACAGCACCCTCTGCTGGTTGTGCTCAGATGTGGCAGCTGGGTGAGGAGAGGGTCAGGTTTGGCTGAGACACCCTCAGCAGTCCAGTAGTCTGCCGACACCCACTGCCAAGGCATGAACAACTACCACATTGGGTAGGTACGGAGGGCAACCCAAACCCATGGAACCGCACTCCCAACAATAGGAGGTTGGGGACTAGGAGCAGATTAGAATTAGAAGGGAGTCGATTGGAATTTTTGTTGAAGTATTGGCTTACGTTGTAGCTTTGCCCTTCATTGGGGTCAGCCCAGGTGTCTGACACATTCGGAAACCTATCACCATGGTTAAGATTATCCTAATCAAACTTTGCTTTGTTTCCACTGACATTTGCTGAAGAAGCCTAATGACAATGGTGTTAAAATCATTTTTTTTCTTCTCCTAAAGTTTGTGCCCCAGGAAATTGCAGGTTCTGGGGTTGGTGCTGATTGTGAGAATGGAGGGGATGCTGCTTTGGCTCCTTCACTCTATGGAGCTTCCTATAGCTGTCACATCAGGAGGTCTTGAGCAGGGCTCAGCTGCCTATCTCCCTGTGATGGGAGGAAGGGGACGACTTTACTGAGCTGCTGTGAGGCCATTTGTAGCGAAGAGCAGGACTGGTGCTAGCCTGGTTGTGGCAACATCTCCCTCATCATTTATCTCATTTTCTTTTTCAAAAGCAGTAAACTGATAAAGAACGCTGAAACGTGTGACATCTCTGTGACTTTTCATGTCACACTAGAAGCAGACATGGGCCTGAGTTGAATTAATGACCCCTTTGCTGGCATTGGTTGGAAAGTGATGGATGGTACATACCGAGTATGCATGGGATGTGTATATCTGATCCATCTCCTGCTCTCTTTCTCTCATTCGCTCGTATTTTCTATTTACTCTCTCTTTTCTCTTTCATTCCCTCTCATTTCTAATCTTTTCGTCTCTCTTTTATAATCTCCCTCTCTCATTCTATTTCTTCCACTCCCTGCTTCTAATTCCCCTATCGTCACATTTTTTGGAATGCACAATGTCATAGCAGTTGAGTCCTGACTAAAAATTATTTGCCTTGAGATGTGTAGCTTGGATCAGGGAGAGTGAAGTAAATTTCCACAAAATCCACAGTGTCACTTGTTGACCAGTTCATATCTAGACAGCAAGTAAGCAGAACGTTCTTTATCACTTCACTACTTTAGCATCAGAGATTCTTCCCATTCAACCCCCGTTAACCCTGCAAGCCAAAGCCCTGAAGGGTAGGGTGATCCTCACTGGACAAGCAGTGGGAAGCTTGCCATAAAGTGCATTCAATGGCTAGCGCTTTTAGATGGTTAAAATCCAGCTGTACCACAATGTGCACTCTGGGCTCCCCAAGTCTTGGCTCTTGCCAATCTTTGCTTAATACTCTCAGGAATTAGGTAAGCATGGTGGGTCCCTCCAGGGAGAGAGTGCACATTCCATTCCACTACACAGGAATTTCAATGCATAGCTGACATACATATGTGAAATTCTCAATCTGGTTTGGATATTCTTGAACGCAGTGATGAGTTTCCTCTTGTGTCAGACACCCAGCGATGACCAACAAAGTACACCCACATATGTGCACATTCCATTCTCGCTTTGACCTCTTGGGGGGCATTCAAAGTACTCGTGAAGCACTCAGCGACCTCTGTTGTTTCCTGACCTCCCAGCTGAAGTAGAGCCCTCCAGTGGAGAGGGGAAGGGGAAATGCTAAAGGGGGAGGAAACTCCAGGAAAAATAACTGTAAATGTGCAGTCAGTGCTACTGCTCTAATTCCTCACATTGTACTGGGAGAACCAGACAAAAGTGAGCCAGGTAGTCAGTACAAATGTTAACACCTCTGGCTTTTTCTTTTGCCTTCCACAGTGTATAACGTGGACTGCAGCACCGTGGAGTGCCCACCCGTACAGCAAGTGGTCTGCCCGCCCGACAGCTTTGAGACACGGACCCGGCTGACTGCCGACGGCTGCTGTACTCTCCCGACTCGGTGAGTTCCATTGCCAAAGCTGTTTAGGAAGCCCAGCATTACAGCATGCTTTCTGTTTGTATTGTACAGGCTACTCTTGGAGAGTTGTTAGAAAAACATCAGCTCTCTGCTCCCTCACACATCTCAAATGATTAAGTGCAGGAAATTATGTGAAAGGTGATAGCACGCAACAGCGCTCCCTCATTAACATAGATTATAATGGCACTGATATGGCATCAGAACCATCATGTTGTGCTGACTCTCTGAAAGAATTAAATTTTTCTACCCTTTTCCCCATATCTGTTATATTTTTTACTCTCAGACATTTGTCTAATTCCCTCTTCAAGCTGTTGTGGTCCCGGGCTTGATGTCCATTCTGCCCTGAGTTTAGTATTAATAATAATGACAACACTTGCATTTGATACAGCACTTCACAGGATTTACTGTGAAGTGTAGTGTCTGTGTTTTATAGACCAACACAGCAGCCAATTTGCTCACAGCATCGGCCAACATTCAGCCATGAAGTGGAATGACCAATTAATGGCTGATCTCAACCAAAGCAATAAGGTGACTGACAACTGGGCTCAGTCAGTAGCTTTGGGTTAGTGAAGGGAAAGATCAGCCAGTCGTATATGAAGAATAGCCATTTGAGCGAGGTACCAGAGGAACCATCCACTCCAATGAAAGCAGTGGGTTCAGAAGAATGGGTGGGGGTGGGAGAAAAAAGATCAGGTATTGAAAACAAGTATTGAAAAATGCAAATGAAATTGAGTGACTTCAGTATTTTTGAAACAAGAAATTGAAGAAAGTGTCTGTACAACTCCAAAAATCTTGAGACAGGAGGCCCCAGTGGTGTGGGAGCAGCTCCAATGTGTTACTGAGTCTCATTCCCCCTTGTCGAAATCCAGCTCATGGCACGGAAACAATGGAAAGATGCATGCCAAGCAAGTATTTTTTTAAGCTGAACCCTACCCCTGTTCAAAAGCAATAAAATGCACAATAAAGTCAGGAAGGTCGATTTAACTTTGAATTGCCCATTTGAAAAATAACTTTGTATAAATAGTGAGTCACTGTCCGAAAGGCCTGTACCATAGGTCACCTCCTCCCACTTCCTCTAACCATGGAAATTTACAACTCAGAAGGAGACCATTCGGCCCATCGTTCCTGTGCTGACTCTCAGAGAGAGTCCTCTTGTTTAGTCCTGTATTTTCCCCATCCTTTTTTATATTTCTCCCTTTCAGTATGTATCTGATTCATCTTCTGATTTTGCCTACACCACATTTCAAATAGGACAATCCACTTCCCAACAACCCTCTCCGAACCTCTCCCTTTGTTCGTTTGGTAATTACCTTAAATCTATGCCCTCTAGTCACTGACTGACTAAGCAGCAGAAATAATTTCTCCTTGTTTATTTTGTCAAAACTCCTCAGAATTTTAAAAACTTCCATCAAGTCTCCTCTCAATGTTCTCTGTGTGAAGGAAAACAACCCCAGTTTCTCCAATCACCCACAAAACATAGTCATTACACTTTCAGATGAAGCATTTTGAGACATCCTCCCGACATGCAAGGTGACCAAATGCAAGGATTATTATGACTTTATTTATTCTTCCAACTTTTTCCGCTCGAGAGCATCAGTGTGCACTAGTGTTCATCCTCTGTTCAGAGCCTCACTTATTACTTCTTGTTTGGATTCCAGGTGTGAATGTTTGCTGGGAATCTGCCGGGTCCCTAAATGTGAGGCTGGCGCAGTGCCCCGCATCATTTCTCCTGGAGACGGCAGCCCTGGTCGGTGCTGTGATGTGTTTCAGTGCGTCAATGGTGAGTGCACACTCCAAAGATTTTCAAGCTGTTGTTGCGAAAAAAATTATTGCAGAGAATAATTCAATTCAAGTGACCAACTTGTCCTCTGTGGGGTCAGAGGACAGATGAGTTTTAGAGAGAGGCTACTGTCAACCTGCTATGATGATATTTCACACTATTAAAGTGAAGGCTGAAACAGTCAAACTCAAACATTTGGAGAAGGCCCTATGTTTTTTTCTGTGTGTAATCACTGGTACTACGTCTGCACTGTTAACTTTAAAAGCTTATGCTTGATGTCATCCTTTTTGCTCTCTAGTCTTAATTGATTGATTGCAGCTGCCAGGTACGTTTGAAACAAGTCTGGGATGTAATAAAACGTGACTCTGTATATATTTTACTCATTTTTACGAGGGATTCAATCCCTCTATTGTTTGCCCAATCTGTGCACAGATTACATCTGAGACAGGAACTCTGCTCCCAGACCTCCTGTCCCTAGGGTTCTCATCCTCGGTCTTTACCCCTGAGCTTTCCAATACCACCCCGATATGGGGACTCGGCACTGGAGCACAGCCCATTGGTACCAATCAGTCCCTCTCCGTGTGAACATGCCAATGACACTTGTTGTAGGTGTGTGCATCTGCTGAATCAACAATACTGATGCCCCACCATTCAAAAGTTAGTCTGCAGGACCTCAGGCCACCATCATCTTGCACAATTGAGTCAGCCACAGATTTGCACTTCACTTCATCGCTATCCACCCACTGACAACTCCAGTACATTGTCTCTCGCAAGTATTCAACCTCCGAGCCGAGCCCATTGTTGCTGAGCTGTGAGTTTGACTGTAAGTTATTTGGCAGAATGGTGCTGATCCAGACAAAAATAATTTGTTCTGCAAAGTATGAAAGATGCCTCCAACCAGAATGTTTATTATTGCTGTGATATTCATAACCTGTCAACATCACAACCTCCTGCATCAGCAGGGGCTAGATATTTAAATATAGCACAATATTTAGACCTTGATAGAAACTAAATATAGAGAATGCTGCATTCCATCTCATAGAAACCACTTGGCATATTGACAGAAGTGGCTTATAGAATAAAACAAGTCCACTTGACAGTAGCACAATTAAATTACACTTTATGCACTGATGTTTAGTGCATTTCTGAAGAAAAACTAAGAATACACTAATGAGCTGCAGATCATCCAAAACTCTGCAGCTTTAGGTTAGCAGGTTGTGGGTTAGCAGGTTGTGGGTTTGACCCCCATGCTGGTACTTGAGCTCGCAGGGGAGCACAGCTGTCCTTCAGATGAGAACAGATCTACCTGAGAATGGATATTAAAGATCTCGTCCACAACACAACACAGTATATGAAGTGCTTTGAGACGTCTAGAAGACGTCATAAGGTACTATATCAAATGCAAGAATTATTATTATTATTATTATCTCATGGCACAGTGGGAAAACAGAAGAGGATTTCTCCCAGTGTCCTAGGTCAAGGATTGCCAAACTTTCTGAGCGCAAGGCCCCCATAGCATGCGGCATCCTGACTGAGGTTGCCACATCTAGGACCTAGGTAACAATTTTCCAAATAAATTCACCATTTGTTGCATGACTGTTTCCGGGACGGACCTTGCAGTGTGCAAAATAGCTGCAGTGTTTGCCTGCAAAAAAAAGTCACTATTCTTCATAGTAATTGCCTGTGAAGGCCTTCTAGATGTTTTGATGTGATAAGGCACTAGAAAAATCCAAATTCTTTCTTTCTTTCCATTTTCTGCCCTCGCCTGCCCCAAAACACATGATGATTGCTGGAGTAGACACAGAGAAATTCCCATTTCAGGTAGCCTTTGTGGAAATGTTTTGACATTGTACTGATACTGACAAGCTTGTTATCAGCAATCAAATTGTTTCCAAGTATATTCAAGCAGAACTTGAACAAGCTGGTTGTGTGGGAGGGCAGTGGATTAAATTGCTCCTTGTCAGTAAGTTTTATATAGGGAGAGGGGTGAACATTAAAACAACATTGAATGAGACACCAGATTTACAGAGGGTTAACACAGTCCTTAACCTCTAGGACTTGGGTTCAAGCCCATTGCTGGTTAAAGGACTGCTCCCCTTCGCTCTCTACGGACTATAAGAATCTGATGTGGCGTCTGATGACTTGATCTCTGATCTGTGTGAGGTAATGGTGGGGATCTCAGTGACCCTGGGTCACTAGGTTTCCCCCAGTGAGAGGAAAGGCAGCCAGCATTCCTGCACCCAATCACTCTCCCTGCTGCAAAAAGGATATCTGGATCTCATGCTCCATCTATTGACCAGTCAACAACAGCAACAAAATTACATTTGTAAAGTGTCTTTCACATCGGGAGGACGTCCCAAGTCAATCAGTGTTTTGGATCCGAGCTGGGGGTCGGGATCAGCGAGAGTGGAGGGCAGGAGGGAAGGAGGCTGACCGAAGGCACAGTCGAAGAGAAGGATCTTGAGACAGGCCTTGAAGGAGGCAAGGAAGGGGGCGAGGCGGAGGGACTGCGGGATGGAGTTCCAGAGGGTGGGGGCAGAGTGGCAGAAGGTTCACCCGCCAATGGTGGGGCGGGGGACGTGTAGCAGGCCAGAGGCTTGGTGAATGGAGATAGCGGGCAAGTTGGTAGGGGTTAGGAGGCGTCAGAGGTAGGGAGGAGTGAGGCCATAGAGGGCTTTGAAGGTGAGGACCAGGAGCTTGAACTGTATCCTCTGTGTCATGGGAAGTCAGTGGAGTCGGGCGAGGATGGGGGTGGTAGGGTCACGGAGCCTGGTGCGGGAGAGGACACGGGCTGCAGAGTTCTGGATGATCTGCAGCCTTGGGATGTCCTCCTGACGTGAAAGCGCTATACAAATGTAATGTTGGTGTTGTTGTATGGAGGGAGGAGTTGGGGAGGCCGAGAAGCAAGGAGTTTGCATAGTCAAACCTGGAGGTTATGAAAGCATGTATGAGGGTTTCGGCGGCCTGCAGTGTGAGACAGTGGCGGAACTGGGTGATGTTGCAGAGGGGGCGGAAGGTAGAGCGGGTCATGGCACAGATGTGGGGTAGAAAGGATAGTTGAGGATCAAATAAGACACCAAGGTTCTGGACTGGCTTAGTAAGGTGGAGTGTGCACCCATGGATAGTAATGCTGTTAATGCCTGAGGTGTGGAGGTGCTGACGGGAGTCAACCAGAGAAGTAGAGTGCCACCTGACCAGCGACAGAGGTGGGGGGCGAATAATAATAATAATAATCCTTGCATTTGATATAACGCCTTATCACGTCTTTGAGACGGCTCAAAGCGCTTCACAGGATATACCGTAAAGTGAATTGACTGTATATTTTGTGGGCAAAACGTGGTAACCAATTGCGCACAGAAGTATCAAGTGAACAAATTTTTATTTTTTGAAGGAATCACAGTAGTTGTGAATTGTATCCGACAGGACCATTAATATCTAGTCGTGGGGGTAACATCGTTGGATGCAATGCAAAGATGGTCCGTTCATTCCAGGGTTAATGCTCGCTCAGTCTTATTCCAGACACAAGTCATACATTGCAGGAGAGAGCGTGCGGATGGATCACACATTTTGAGCGATTATCTGATCTGAAAGTATTTGCTACCATTGACCTTTTCATGGTCAGGGCTTGTCCAAGGGAAAAACACCTGTCTGTTGACATTAGCTGATGTAACCATCATCCCCACCCCCACATACCCACACGCATATACACATACATATAAATAGATACAAACATAAGCACATACATCCCCATGCACACACACTCATGTGCACACACATACTCATACACGCTTACACACACACACACATACACAAAAACATGTTTTGAACGAAGAACCTTAGGGAGCAATGAAGAACAAAGCAAGCTTTATCATTTTATACTTGTCAAATGCAGGCTCCTCTTTAAAATGCAGCACTAAAATGTTCTGATACAGTAAGCAAATGCCAGCTGTTAAGAGGAAACTAACATAAACTTTGAGCATTAATAATTTGTCGGTTTGGGTTGAAGCTAGTCGAGTGCTGTACATTATAGCTATATTGGTTTCATGGCTGGATTGGAATGTAATTAATCCACACAACATTTTTTGTCAGGGTAACTTGTTTGCTTTGAAAAGATCCTAACATCATTGCTCAAACCCCAATCCTCAAGGCCACAGACACAGTTAGACACAGAGTAGAAACGTGCATGTGAAGCACAGTGCACCAGTGTCTGAGCAGGGAAGTACCTGTCCAAAGCATCATTTTCCATTCTCATCTGGATTCAGAATAGTGACTTTAGAGACATTTGCTTCATTTTGTACTCATTACATTGGATAGATATGACATTTTAAAATGTCAACAGCAAAAACTTTCATTCGCCTTTTGTTTCCATATTTATCTTTTATTCTTATCGAGGTAAGACTGGCGCCATGGAATGAAGAAGTTTAATTTCCAGTGCTTACTGTCAGCATCAAGCGCTCCAGGGCAAGGCACAACAAAATGTAGCTCAGCTAATATTTTTTGTTTGTTGCTGTTTGAGAGAGAGAGAGAGACAGAGAGAGAGAGAGCAATGACAGTTTCGTAATGCCAATTTGTTCTGAATTAGGATCTATTTTATGCTTTGGAGAGTGCCACTGGGAACTAGATACAAATTGTCTGAGTTGATTTCAAATGTGACATTCAGAGCTAAAATAAGAAAGAACTTGCATTTTTAGATGGTTTTATCACATTGAAATGCCTCAGAGTGCTTTACAGTAATTGCTCTCAAATGCCATGACTTTTTGTAGGCAATTCAGGCAGCCGTTTTGCGTACCGAAAGGTCCTACAAACATCCGTGAGGTGAATGACCAATTTATCTACAGGATTGTTGGCCAGGACACCAGATCTGCCTTTCTAAAGCACAAGAGTGAAAATTACCTTTCTGTGGCACATTGATCAAAACCTGTAAGAACACCCACAAAAATGCTGACACTGAATATTTTTTTTTGTGTTGTGTGAACATGTGGCTGAATTTTGATTCATTT